TATATATATATATATATATATATATATATATATATATATATATATATATATATATATATATATATATATATAGTGAGCGCTTCTTCCAACGGCGGGCCTTTCAGCGCAGCTGAAAATATATGCAGGACCAAGGGGTTTAATCGCAATCGTCGTGAGAATGGTATGTCGTTCGTTACGAACTGGTTGGGCCAGAAAAGGGCATGCTAGGGACGTCCAAGGCCGAGCGATTTTTCCAAACGAGCATCAGGAACGTGTCCTTCTCGCGGTGCTCTCGAAACAGGCTGCACGATGTAGCCCGGTAGCATCAACAGCGTCTTGTGCGCTGTTGTCGGAATTTCTTTCTTATTAGTCGCGGATAGGATTTACCAATAACGGCCGCGTCGCACCGTGGGAAGTTTCACTTCCGAAATGGTTTCGTCGGCCAGCGCGAGTCGGGCCTATTACCGTCGCTTTTCGATCGCATTTAAGGTGACGGCGCTAATTACCTTTCGCGACGCGAAAGGCGCCGGCATCGTTCCCAGATCGGGTCGAGTTGCGGAGAAAATCCCGAGAAAATCGCTTTCGTTGCGCTATTAATTGCCCCGGTTTCTCGTCGACGGTTCAACCAACGTCGGGAACACTTATCTCCACTATCGCCGGAAACGGATGCCGTTGTTGCCCGATTTTCGAGATTGTCGGCGGACGGTTGCTCGACGCATAATTAAACGTACGTTTCATCCCCATGGCGGACTTGATTGTTTTGTTACTTTATATCCTCGATGTTATTTTGTTAGTCATTGCAAAACCGAGAATAAAAATTAATTAGAAAAAAGGTACCGCACACTTTCGCATCTCTAATAGGACCGTGCAATCGATGCCAGGCCGTCCGGAGAATTTTGTCTTTGAAGCTCGTCTACAATATGCGTAGTATGGTTAGCGTAATTTGGAGTAAGAAATAAAAACAATTTATTTTTGGCTTCCTTGCATCGCAAGTATATTTCTTTTAAGCGAGATTTAAGAGAAATACGCGTCTTATAAACGAGTTTTTAGAGTTGTTCACGGATCGAGTGAATTCGCCACCTAATGGCGTTTTATATAGCGTTACAACGATACAATATTTATCGTTAACCGATGTCGGTAGGTGTTGCGTCGTATAGATTCGTGTTTCCCGAGACGTTGCGACACCGTCGCTGAGATTTGGGTCCATCCATCCCGATCCACTTTCTTAATTATTACGCGCGAGAAGGAAAGCGGCGATGCGGTCCATTCATTCCACGGTTTCTTAATAGTGGCCCATCGCCACCGACCGACTACGGGGGAAGACTTCGGGGCCCGAGCCCCGTCTCGTCATTTGAATGCGTCGGAATGCCGCTTCGTTCGTGTCGGCGCATCTGATGTAAAGTTAGGCTCTGTATATACGCGTAATCATGCTGCGGTTATACGAGCCCCGAGTGGACTCAAAGCTCACCAAGGTAATTTGACGCTTAGCGCGCATTCCGTTTAAATGGGTGTTAAAGAAAGGATAGTATGAAAGTATCGACGTTGCGGCAACTGATTTTCGATTGGTAGATAATTAATAATTCAACTAATACTTCGAACGTGTTGTCGAAGAAACGAATGTGTGCATTCGTAGTACACAGTGGGAAAATGTACGGGACATTCTGTGAATCGAGACGACTGCTCCCGAAAGAGCATTTCATATATCTCGACATTGTTCTCGAACATTCGCTGATGATTACGACGGTTTGGCGTAAAGTCGCGTGCGCGCGGGCGAATTTTCAAAAAGCAAACGCGCGAGTGAGATGAGGGGCGGCTACGGCGGCGGCAGCAGCAGCAGCAGCAGCAGCAGCAGCAGCAGCAGCAGCAGCAAGAGCGCGAAAGAAGCGGGACACGGGAGCGAGAGGGGTTTGCAGGACGAGAGGGGCCGCTGTGGAATGGAATGCGCGGCGCCTAGGGCTCGTCGGATTCCAGGGCCACACGTGCCCTTCTCTTCCCGCGCGCCCGCAGGCACCGACCGAAGCCAATAAACTTCGCCTCCAACTGGCGGTCGCGGCCGACCACCATAGAGCTCATTCATGGAGACCTCCTACCACGCGCGCCGGCTCGCCTTGTTCTGACCACCTCGATCGTAAGACTTTGCGAGCACCTCACGCTGCTGCCATCTAACGTGGAGTTTGAGACTTAAGAAGAGCGTCGCAGCGGGAAACGGACGCATAAGGGGCTGAACACAATAAAAGGAATAAGGAATCGAGAGTAGAGAACAGGAAACAGAGAATAGGGAATAGTTCAATATTAAAACATGAAACTTAATTTATCAACGCAAAATAGAGGAATAGCGTTATTTCTTGTTTTCAATATTCTTTATTTTTTATTCTTTGTTCCTTTTATTGTGCTCAGCCCCTATCGCGCGATCGAGTGTATATTCTTTGCTAATAAATTCAACCTATCAAAGATTCGGCATCGCGTATATCTCTCGCGTTATTTCTTTCTTTCTCTTCCCCTTTGATTATCACCGAATTTCTAATTTCCGATTAATAAACTCGACGAGCACTCGATTCTATTACTGATTGTGTGACTCTATAATTATAATAATAATAAGATATAATAATAATAACATGCCGCGCTCGCGACAAGCACCGGTTACAAATACAACGGAAAAAGATACGATCACTTACCAATAACGTCCTTACGATACGTCCCGACGATCGCACATAGCTAATCTTGACTCTCCCGATACTTATTTACGCGCGAGGCTCACTTTTAAGAAACAAAAGAAGCGTGAAATGCAGAGCGTTGTTGATCGATGTGTTAATGGCGGTTGCTCGGAGCAAAAAGAACGAAGGCGCGTTTCGGCGCGAAGAAAGCGGTAGGTGGCGACGCGATAGCCAATCACTGTGTCCCGTTCACAGGAAGAACTAGATTATTAAGGCTACCGCGGACGCGCCTCACCATCGATAGATCGATGATTACAATTTTCGGCATCCGTGTCTACGCGGAAAAAGAATCTCAATCCGAATAACTGAATGGGACTGTGAATAACCGGATGAGAAATTGGTCGAAAATTTGTGGTAATTATCGTTCTGTCGAATAAGACATCTTGCGAAACTGAGTGTACGTGACACGAGAGAGGATCGAAACAAACGGGAAAATAGATAGTCGACCCCATCAATCGCCGGCCGTCGTCGTGTCTCCAGTCGCCGAATCGACGATGATCGGTGATTGGTGAAGATAAGAGGCTGAGCACAATAAAAGGAATAAGGAACAGGGAACAAAGAATAAGAAATATTAAAAATAAGAAATAACGCTATTCCTATGCTCCTCTATTCTGCGTTGATGAATTAAGTATCTCAATATTGAATTGTTCCCTATTCTCTTGTTTCCTGTTTTCTATTCTCCTATTTCTATTCCTTATTCCTTTTATTGTGCACAGCCCTAAACTTTTGAGTAATCACGCGATATTCAAAAAAAATTTCTTTAGTTTCTGACAGACTTCTATAGTTTCTAATTATATTAAGCTGTGTGATCTTTTTCAGTGAAATTGTGTACATAATATATCTGAATATGCGCTTAATTTATATTTTCTAATCTTGGAAATATTGTTGTAGAAATAGGATCGGAGTATCTTATTTTTTATAATGCTTTATAATGCTTTATTTCTCCGTTTATATAGCAAATAAATAAATAAATAAAAAATCCCGAGATTAACATGTCGGAACAAGTCTCAATGGATCTCTCTTGTTTCGTTTACCATTTTGTATTGTACAGTTTTTCTTATTTATTTGTTATATAAAAGTAATTCAAACGTTGGCACAAAATTTAGTCTCCTATTCACGGAATATCTATTGCGTATTATTTTCTTTTCTATCGAGCAAAAATTTTGTCTCTCGACTTTCTATTCCGTTTCTCTTTTGTTACGTCAGCTACTCTATTAATGCGATCTAGAATCATCTTACGCTTAATAAAATACGTATTTTATTGTATGAAACTGGTCGCTAATGACGTGAATCGCTCTTGGAATGTGATACAAATATCACTCTATGACGAATGATTAAAGTGGGGCGAGACATCATCAGTTATTTATGAATTCTGAACTCGTTTTCACCTCACGGATTGAAATACGAATAATATAATATTGTCGCTTCTTTTTGCTTCCCGGTTTTCTACTGATCGCTTTTCCTTCGATTTCGTGAGTACTGTTCACGATAATGCATAAAATCCACCACTTCGCTAACTTCGCATTTAACCTTTATGACTCGCGTAATCAATTGAATAGGCAAGATTGATCTAAACCAGTAATACTAGTAGTACAGTCTTCGTCGCTAGCAGTGTCGCGCGACGTCACACCAGACGCAAAGCATATTATTATTCTTTCAAGTTTCTTTGATTTCAATAGCGATATATTTAAATTTTTGATCGCTATCTCTACTTTTATGAGAGTATCATTTCCGCGGGGAACAAATTTATGTCAATTAATAACTGCGCGATAATAAATGAATAAATTATTTGTGAATATAACATTGAAATGTATATTATCTCTTGTAAGAGATTATATATAGCTTACCTTGCACTTTCAAATGTTGCTGATGGGCTACTTCCTATCGCTCCAAAGCCCACACCAACTGCGAGGCCCTCGGGTATATTGTGCACCTAGTTTTGTGAAAATCAAAAGACGTTATTATTGACAGTCGACAACCCGTGTGATACACGAACGGTTCGATATTTAAACGAACAGTTCGAGCGGTTATTTACTATCTTGCAGAAATGTACCGTAATCGCCACAACTAGCAGCAATATCCTCCGCCATTGGTTGTTTCTCGCCTCGTTATTGGGATCTTCATAAACCGTGCCGATCTCTCCCGATTCCGACGCTCGATTTATATTCGCTATTTGTCGACGCCTACTATTCTGTTCGTAGAAGCCTGAAAAATTAAACATTCACAACAATACATATATCACGCTCTGCATATGCCACTCTGGCATGATTAAAAAAAAAAGAAAAAAAACTGAACCATAGGCACAGGAGCACTTCATGCAAATACAATTTTGATCATCTCGACGAAGGTTCGAAAAAAGGATCTTTTTGCACTGCGGATTATCTTTTAAATTGGACGAGCAAGTTAGAGGTTCGTTTAGGCAGGATTAATAAGATCAGTTTTGTCAAGCTCGTAGAACTCCTCACACAAATCCAAAAAAAATGCTTTTATTATTTATTTTTAATTTAAGTATGTATTATTAAATAACATTTTACGCGGACGTGCATTCTGTATTAGTGATGGATTTTAAATTGATATTTTCGGCCTTGTTGTTCACACTCTTTGTTCACATCACTCATTAGTAGTTTTTAATTTATGAGTTATATAGGTGACACATGTTTAGCCGGTTGGGAGTCGGGTATTTTTATTTGTAAGTTTAGTTTGAACCCGTGTGTCGGAGTTCCACATGTGTTTTTACTACGAACAATACCATGCATATACTAATAAAAAGCTTGAGGTATTTTGAAGTAAGTGCGTATGTCAATCAATCATTCTCACATTTCTCCTATTGGACATTACGCAAACGGGAAACTATATCGTTCAAAACAACTAAATACAAACAATATATTTATCCGGAATAAGCAATAATTAATTAAGTATTAATATCAAGTTTTTCCAAGAGTATCTATTTTAAATTTAATTCGTCGCTTCAGTAACAACAGTTTTAAATTCGTGAAAGAAGAACGCTTAATGTTTCATTTCATTATTGACAAATTTTGAATTTTATCTTGCCAACATTTTGTCAGATTAAAAAAAAGTATTACGTCAGATAGAGTTAAATACTATTACTTGTTTCATAAGCAATTTGTATCATGCTACATGCAAAAGTTCCAACTTGTGCGTCATTTGTATCTTAAGATAGAACAATATTGGCGCGACGCTTCTAACATAGATAGCAAAAAAGAGAAGAATGCTTATCCCTGGATAAAAACCAGCTATGTCTGCGACAAAGCAAAGAGGGGCGAGTGTACACTGACGTTTATATACATATATAGACATATGTATATATATATAAATATATAGAACGGTATAGTATATGTATCGCGAACTGATCCCATTTTCCAAGCCTACAGAGAGGAAAACTGGAATTTTACAAGAGGAATACCATCGATAGTGGTCGACTCGACACTAGTGTACATTTTTCCACTTCCGGAAATTTGTACGTTGTTAAACGGAACATTATCGTCTAAGTCCTCGTCACTCTTTAGTTTCGCAATGATCTTGCGTCTTTGTTTCGTACCGACTGATTGCATAGCTAAAAGCACATTGGGGGACTGAATGCCGAGGGTAGATATCAACACGTCCGTCCCGTATACGAATGCCGCGCCGACGACGAAGCCAACTGCGACCGGCACGAACGCGTACTCGCCATTCGCCCCGTATATCTTGCTCTCGGTTGCCATTTCGATCGCTGGAGCCAGCAATGACCAGTAACTCGCTGCCACCATCACGCCGCCTGCAAACCCCAGGCTGACATCGAGGAGTTTACGCTAAAACGAAAACATGCCTTTATGAAATTTGCGATTCTTTCGCAGATTTGAGTAAGTAAGATGAGAAGGTGGACTCTCTGCTATTTGGGAATTTCAAGA